AATTGGGTATAATATGAAAAAAGCACAACTACTTCCACTTACTAGGAATAACATTTACCTTTTAGTTTAATTAATAAACTGAGTTTTAAATATGCTTACTAAATTCATAAACTTCGGTAAAACAACAATATAAATTATTTCCAAAGGAACTAGACTAATACAATTCCAACCTGGCGAGTAGCGACTTATAACAAGACACTTCGTTTGATGCTTTTACTTGTTGCTAGAAATCAGGTTCGCAGAAAATGCTGTTTACTAGTTAAATTTAGTAAGAATAACACGATCTGTGACGTAGGCTATAGTATACCCAATTGAAAAATGTGTGGACGCCATGAAATGCAAACCACGACCCATTTTGGCAATGGGTAATAAAGAAAGAAATAGTACAGCTTTGGGGATATTTATTACGTGAAGGAGTGTTAATTAATGGAATGTTATTTTATTTGCAGCTCTTAAAATCCACTGCAGTGAAGCATGCAAGGAACTGTTAGATAGGTTAGGAGGCTATAAATTTGAAGATCGAGGATTGATTAGCGTTAAGGTGATTTTTTTTTAAAATAACTTACTTTGTTTTTCTTTGCAAGATTTTATTTTAATTCTAATTAAGTTAAATTCATTGAACAAAACTGTGCACATGATTTCGTAAATGCACAAATTCATTATGTATTATGCAATCATTATATATTATACATGTAAAAATAGATGTAGTCAATATTTTTATAAGCTCACCAATGATACAAAGCTCGATCTTCCACCCCACTTTCTAGGGGTGGAGGGGGGTCAACAATGAAATCTTTACGAACCCCTTTTTTTTTACTGTAGATTCGGGATCTCCAGAAAAAGTAACCCGATTCGATTTATACATTGTAAAAAATTGATTAGCGTTAAGGTGATTTTTTTTTTAAATAACTTACTTTGTTTTTCTTTGCAAGATTTTATTTTAATTCTAATTAAGTTAAATTCATTGAACAAAACTGTGCACATGATTTCGTAAATGCACAAATTCATTATGTATTATGCAATCATTATATATTATACATGTAAAAATAGATGTAGTCAATATTTTTATAAGCTCACCAATGATACAAAGCTCGATCTTCCACCCCACTTTCTAGGGGTGGAGGGGGGTCAACAATGAAATCTTTACGAACCCCTTTTTTTTTACTGTAGATTCGGGATCTCCAGAAAAAGTAACCCGATTCGATTTATACATTGTAAAAAATTATAGCAAATCTCCACGCTAAAATGGTGTTAACTCATTTACGCTCAATCGGTGTAATAAAACACCATGCTTAACTCTAATTGAAAATAATTCTCGTATGGTGTGAAAGCGTGAGGTTTGGTGTAAGATTATTCCATTTTAACAGTTTAAATTTAAATTATACCTTTTAAATCGTGTATGAACGTTCAATTTGGTGTTGGCACGGAGTAAAGTGTTCCTTTACATAATTTTTTATTCTGTTCAACATAATATTCAGATATATATTACACCACAGATTTTGCAGCAAAGTTATATGAATTTAGCTTCACCGAGATGTTGTAAAATTTGTCAGAAATTGTTCTACAAAAATTTCATTTTTGTAATTAGATAATAAGATAAAATGGTAGTATTGCAAAACTAATCAGATTGTAACAAAAATAAATATATAAATGTTTTAGTAAGTTGATTCGGAAAAAAAAATTATAAAAAATCTTTGACAAAATTTGAAACATGTCTATTTTTATGTTCTTAATCTGATGGGTCTCGAGATTCATCATTTTTCAACAGGCTGTACCCTCTTATAATATTTCGCTGTTACAGCGACATCTGAGATGCAAAATGCTTAAATAGGGTTGCTTTTTTCTGGAGAATCAAACAGTTGGTGTACAAGAAGCATGGTATTAACACAAATCACTAAAGAAACTGTTTCACATATATAATTTTGTTGAAAACATGTTAAATAAAAATTGACAACATTAATGTGTGAGCCGAAGTGAGGAAACGAAATATAGTTGAACTAAAGTTATAAATGCAGGATTTTTGGCTGGCCTATGAGTCGCCTTGAAGATTCGTCTACCAAATCAAGAATTCATTCTTGATTCACAAGTAACTAATCTAACTAAATATAATCTAAAAATTAACTAATCTAACTTAGATCGTTCGTAAAGTCTTTTTGCACTGGAGGCTGTGTGATAATTTATATTACCCGAATCATTTTATTTTTCTGGGGGAGATCTCCCCAAATAAGAAATGAGAGGGCGTTAATGCACCTATATTATTTATATCATTATCACTAACTAGGGTAAGAGGATTCGAATTTAAAACTACTTTTACTGACAAAGTACTTGATTCCTCAAATGTAAAAGATGCATCACCTGTAACTTGATGCAAATGAAATTTAACGTAAATGAACATAACGTTATCCTCGAATCCCAGATACCAGGTGTTTCTACGAGTAACTTACATGAGGGCCGTGGTCGCAATTAAAAACACCAGTCAAATGGCGGGCCGCAACTTTATCAAAATTTTATATAGGACTCTTTTATGTTAGAAAGAACATTCAATATTACTGTCAGATTTTTATCAAGTTGTACGAAACAGAAGTACTGAATTACAAATTAAAATAAGAAGTAGATTTTTACCTGAGAAATAAATTTTTTGCACCGTTGGTATGATAAATTTCACAGAAACGAAGAAATTAGGGTCGTTTTAACGAAGAAAAGTACTTTAAACCCTTATAGATTTTTTACGAAAATTGTCCGCAAGAAATGACAACTAATATATTTTAGTTCGCGAGCCACAAAAAAAAAGGCTTGGCGGGCCGGACGTGGCCCGCGGGCCGCCAGTTGGTAACCACCGCCATATATCACCAAAATGGGGCAAAACAGAGGTGCTACCATCTGTTAGCAATTGTTAAAACTAAATTCAACGGCATCGCAGGTGTCTAATTTTTGAGTAGGACGAAATTAAAATACACAGTCATAAGGAAATAAATTTCTTAAATCTTCAACATTTGTAAAAAGATAAATCTCTTTCTTGTTTTTACCTTTGATCTGTGACGATTGACGAAAAATTTTTTCTATTTGTCAAAAATATTGAAGAGTTCACTTAAACACCGATGCAAGTTAAGAAAAGGCCATCATGGTGTAGTAATCATCCGCGACTGCACCCGCATTCACGTTACATGGAGAGAAAAACCTCCCATAGTTAGCCTGATTGCAAGGAGACTCTAACCCATGATCCGTCTACCACTGAGGATATTTAACGTCAGCACTGCGGTCGGTGCAAACCGGATGCGATTTCGTATCGACCAGCCATCGCATGGGATTCGAACCCGGTTCACCTCATTGGTAGGCGAACGCTCTATCTCCTGAGACACCACGCCTCTCCAATAGAGATATTTTTATATCCGTCGTTGAACAGCCGACCCAATTTTGGGTTTATGACTACTAATGTTCAATTCCGCAGCCTTGTAATTTTGAACCAATCCAGAAGACAAAGAAACTCCTAGATCATGTACCTCCAGAGGTATCGGTTCGTTATAGGGACATGGAGGACTTTGCGACTTGACAGATTTAACATGCATCAGTCACCATTTACTACACGGGGAGTCTTCGGCAGTAGGGGATCGAACCCACGACCTCTTGGATATGGGCCCAGTGCCCTACCAACCAGACTATCCCAGCCTTTCCCCCATAGAGATAATAGTGTTTTTTCCCTACCGCCAACAATTGCCATGACTAGATTCCAAAATTTCTATATAAAACTTTTACATCTTTCAGAATAAAAATACCACTTGTTGCATTCATCCTTTATTTCTGAGATTTTTAGCTTAGAAATCAGTCAGCTTGACTCCGGTGGACAGCTGTATCTTTCAACAACAATTTTCAATTCACTTTTGTAGAATCCTAGAAAAAAAAGTTCTCATAAACTATCCTTCGTAAATTATTGTTTTTCATTTTCATTTCAGGGTAAAGGCGACATGTCGACTTTCTGGCTTACCGGTCAAGAGGAACACAGAATCAGAAAATTAAAGAAGAACGCCACGAGATCTTCTTTACGGCATTCGAAATTGAACCGAAGGTTGTCTCTCGAATCGCAAAAGAGGCTGAGATTCGCTGCAGTCAATCCGAAAGCATCGCAAGAAAACTTTTCGCTCGTTCGAGAAAGATCCGAATCTGGTTTGGAAATCGATCTCTCGAACAGCGTCCAACCTCTCATATCGAACAGCACCCTCCCCAAGCGAAATTCCTGCCCATGCTTAGGTGATACGTGCGAAAGGTGTCTGAAATCACTGACACCGAAGGTTATTTTGGAAAATTCTTCAACTGAGAAAGTATCGGAAGTGAAAAACACCTCCAAGCGGAGTCTTCCGGGTTGGAGGAAAATGTCGAGGTTCTCGTCTTTTGTGTCCTGCCTGGGGTCTGGTGAAGTGAACGATACCTCAGATTTCGACGAACTGGGGTTCCTAAGACTGGACAGTAAACATTTGTCTGTCATAGGACACTCTGAAAGCGAGCCTTTCCTGCCTCATTTACGATACTGTAATAATCATTCTGAGAAAAAGAATGAAATTGTGTGATATATATTAATGAACTCCATAATAGTGGTGGAACATTGCTAGTCATATTTGTAACTTTATTTTTGGAGCAATGAATAACAGGGATATTATGCATATACATTTCTATCTTTGAAAATTGTTTAAAGGAGGAATTAAATAAAAAAATGTGACTTTGAAAAAAATGTCTGTGTTATATTTATTTTCGTTTTCTATTACAATTGGTCCAACAGAGGCCTTTAAATTACAACCTTGAAAATCAAAAAATGCGCATTTGTAAATTTACAAATGCCTGAGCAACGCTTAACTAGATCAGTAAAATAACTGCAAAGCATCAGGGCTGCTCCAACATCTTAAAATGGAAGGTTCCGCATTGAACTAATCATAAAGACACAGTTTGCAGTCGAACGCCGAAATCAAGCATCACTGGCTACGGTCATTAAGCGGGCGGATGACCACTTTGATCACTTGCTTAGGGGCCGAAGGTGCACGGTATCGGTCCTCGTTAAACTGTTCTAACGTAAAGTGCTCGACTTCGCGCGCAGGTCACCGGGCTACAAAATCTGGGGAGCCATCCTCTCTGCAGAGGATCAAAATTGAGATGGCATATCTTCGGATCATCCTCATGGATGTTTCCCAGACAGTCTCCAATAACCCATTATGCAGCTCTAGTGCGACGTAAATAAAATACCTATTACAAACTTTTATTATTTTTTTAACAAATTTTGAGTTAAAAACTTTAAATGGTTAAACGTCTTTTAGATTTTGGTAAAATAATTTTATTTCATTGTTTAAAAAATGTCTTAATGCCTTCAAATGATGTGTACAAAGCTTTAACAATCGGAAAAAAAAGTTAAAGTGGCCGAACTTAGAATTTTTTTAGCAGTTTCTAACAGTCCATAATTTTTTTTAAACAAAAAGTTTGTGTTCTAGCTACATTTGGAAAGTTGTTCGTTATCGTAACTAGAGCTTTAAAACCGTTGTTGGCCTCCTCTAATTCTGGCAAGTCAAAAGTTAAGCCCTTAAGGAAAATATAATTTATTTTTAAACATAACATACGAGTATTTCAAAATAAAATATATGTTTTCATTGTTAATATATTTCTTTCATTTGAATATTACTATAGACCTCATCTTTGTAACGATTTTGCATTCGTATGAACTTTAAATAAATATATTAGTATTTTTAATATGAGATCCGTAATTATTTATATAAAAAATGCATAAATACAAGGAAAAAAATGAAGTCAGCAAGATATTGGTAGATTGATTTATTTATATGATCACTGGGGTTAAACGTAACATTCTCTTATATAAAAAATATAATTCTTATAAAAATTTAATTATTCATTAATTCAAATTTATTGCTGATAAATCTTTCTTATAAAAACGTTTGTAATGAACGGAATGTTTTTTTTTTCATATTTTAATTTTACCCACAAGGGAAGAGAAAAAAAATTATTAATGAGTTCGTAGTTGAAAGGTTTACAGAAAATAATGTTAAGTCCAAAGGTGAAATTTATTCTTAAAATTTATGAAGATGGAAAAACAATTCAGAAAAACAAAAAGGGGTCAGCACTTGATTTATTTCTAAAGTTTTCTTGATGGTTTGGCAATTTATATGCTATTTTGATGTGGCTATTCTAACTGTAACTTTATCTTTATTTATTTTTCTTATTTGTGGGAGCTTTTATGTCTTATTTTGTGTACTTTTAGGTCATTATTAAGACTTTGTGTTTGTTTGTCATTTATTTTACCTTGCATTTAAATTTCAATTTTTCTAATTGCTTTTTCTTATTTGATATTCCTTTAGGGGCACTGTCAGTTTTTGGTTTCACCACTGACAACAGAAAGGCTCCTGTATGTTAGCTGGTAATGTGTCCCCTGATGAGGTGCTCTCTTGCTAACACACATATCTAAAAAAAATTTATAAATTTTGTTTTATGCTAGAATTGTATTTCTGACTTTTATAAATTAAAATAAAACAAATTTGGATTTAGCTGCTTTAAGCTCTTTTCTATTTTGATTTATTCTTTTAAATGTTATTTATTTTGTCTTTTTATGAATTAGTAAATTAGTTTCATTCTTTGGATTTATTCGTAAATGTAATACTTTGTATTGTATCTAGAAAGGATCATTAAAAATTTCCAGAATTATTTTAAGAGGTCGTTAAAAAATGTTCCAAAAGAATTTGGCTAATAATTATACTCCAACAATAATTTATTGTTGATGCGATGAACTAAATAGAAAGTTTAAAAATCTTATTACTAATTACTATTTTTTCTAAAAGGCTCAAATTTTAAAACGCAACCAAAAAGTTTCAATGCGATAATATGAAATAGTTATAATTTAATAACGGTATTTGAAAAAATTCGTAATTAGAAAATGGTATTATTTTAAAAAATTAGAATGCATTTAATTTTAAAAAATGCAGTTTTAATTAATTTTTGGAAAAATTTTAGGAACTTTGTTAATAAATGAGGAGATGGAAGAAGTGTCTTGGAAAATCTAAGATTAAAAAATGTCGAAAAAATGGATTTTCTAATAATCTTAACTATCCAAAACATCTAATCTAATTAGAGTATATTAGCAAATGCCTGAAGAAACATTACTTTGAATATGTGTTATTTTAAGTAAGAGAATTTCGAGAAACATTTGCTACAAGTAAGCTTGAACGAACACAAACACAATGAAAAATTTCTGTTATACATTAAACATTGACTTCTAGTTAAAAACTCAAATAAACAAAGATCGCAGAAAAAAAATGCTGTTTTAGAAATTTAATTAATGATTCGTTTCTCATATATCATTAATTCTCACGCTGCTTTTTTATGTGAAAATTAAATTTTTTATTATAAACGTAGGCATCGTAAAAAAGTAAAATAAATTTTTCATACTTAACTGACGCTGTTAGTAGAGAATTATTAGCTTATTTAAAACTTCAATGAAGTTATCAACCTTAGAGCACATTAGAGACGATTTCTGTTTAATTTGAACACCGCAGAATATGCCCTGTTTTCAACTTACTTATATTTTATTTAGAAGCGTCGTGATACGCAATTCTCCCTTCATGGAGTCTATTATATATGATACGAGCCTTTCCGACTCTAGCAGCTCACGGTTATGATCAAAATTCTCGTATTACATCTCATTAGTATATACGCGTACTCTTTATAACGCATAAACTTGAGAAGCGCTTCTTTCACCTTGATAGTGGGTTCGAAGATTTTTAAACACATATCCTCTAAATTGCTACACTGCAATAAAACTTATTTCTTCTGTTCCATATTTACATGCCAATTATATTTATGAGTACTTCTAATGTATCTATTATTTGCACTCTAATTAAAAAACATACATAATTCAGCCTAAAATATTTATTATTTTAAGTAATTCTTTGAGTATTAAATCCTGCTGTAGCGGATAATGAGAAACTAAAGAAACACACCACAGAGAGGGACCAACTCGTAACCACCCCAGGGAAAATATCTAAATGTTATTATTTCTTTTTTTAAAAAAATTCGCTTGTTTAAAATCTATTTGGCACCTTGGCGACTGTACTTGGCGAGACAGATCACGATACGAAAATATCCCCAACATTTATCTTTTGCAATAGCATATCAATAAAATACACGTCGTCTTTCAAGATGGTATGAAAAATATGCAAATGTTAATTATTAAATAAAATTTTCAAAAAAACTTTCCTCGATTCTAGCTGTGCCATAACATAATGCCAACAAGCAGAGCCGGATTATACCTTTCGTAGGCCCTAGGCATAGCCATTTTAGGGGCCCTTCCCTCCTTCCCCCACTCCTCCCCTCTTTTCAAAATATATGCTAAAATTTTCTTGCATATTTTTTTTTACATTTTTATTAATATAGATTTTAATTTACAAATTTGCTTATCGAACTTTATCTGCAATACCGACATACTGCCGATATTGCAGTTGATATCGATTATACCAATATGATTAGTTCAATCGATAACTCGTTGAATCCAAAAATCTCAAAAAAGTAATATATTAGATCATAAGATTCTGCAAAATAATTTATTACCGAAAAATATTATATTTTAATTTGTATCTTCATAATTTTGTGCAAAATACACTTGTTGTTTTTAAAGCTAAATTATTTTTGTCAACAAATTTTTTTCTCCCAAGTTTTTCGTAGGCCCCTGAATTTCGTAGGCCCTAGGCACGTGCCTAGTGTGCCTATAGGTTAATCCGGCCCTGCCAACAAGACATTTTAACTAACCACCTAAGTTATTTGTCATATTGAGAAAATCTCTCATCCTCTGTGTTTCTGTTCCTCAACAATTTCAGAAACAACGATTCTTGATTACAAACTATGGAAAAGACTACGTTTACATACAAAATTCTAATATCGTAAGCAGTTTTGATGTTCCATACATCCCGTTTTGACAATAGATAGCCATAAATGTAATCGATACCCGCTTTTCTTTTTTATGTTTCATGCATAAAAACGGTTAGTGTCAGCAAAAAGTTTTGAAATTAAAAAATAATTCACTTACAATGGAATAAAAACAAATATTTAGTAATGAATGAAATATGACTTAATTTGTACGAGGACAATAAATGGCATTATTATTAATAGAGAATTATTACAAGATTTTTTTTAGAATAAAAAATGATTTAGTAATAAAAACTGAAATGAAATATTTTTTTATTGTTCTAAGTCAGTGTTTCCCAAACTTATGACTTTTGTGTGTCATTTCTAAATTTTTCGTAACGCTGTGTACCACTAATAAAAAAATGAATGTATTTTTTTAAAAATATGTTTATTTTTCTTTTTTGGTGCAAAGTTTTGTTAATAACTACTGACCAGTGATCCATATTCCATGTTAGGGATAAAAATTATATTTTACAAAATAATCAAAATAAGTAGAATTTATTACAAACCTTTACTATAAAATTATATTGCACAACCTTTACTATGAAATTATATTAACTTTTGTGCAAATATATTGCACAAAAGTTAAAAACCACAACTGGTTGTTGACACCACTAATTATTCACTGTTAATTCTGCAAAAAATAGCCAATAGAAAAATTCGTAATCGTAACTTTTCATGGCCGGCTTTGTTCTTAAAGAAAATTTTTTGAAATTTTTCTTTTTTCAAGATATTCCGCATAAGAACGCGTACCCCCGCTAAACTGCTCCCGTAACC